ACACTGTGTGAGAGCCCCTGGCAACATAAACTGCCAAAACCAAAGTTCTATGGTCTCCTCTCTAGGTCAAGAGAAAGGACTCAATTTCTCAGCTTTTCCAGTTGCTGGTCAGTAAACATTCTTCCGGTAGAGTTCACCTCAGAAGGAAAAGAGCTCTATTAAGAGGAGAAACAGGAACTTACAGCAAGGTTCTACTTTCATCAACATATACCTGGTAAGGTGATCAACTATACTTTCCAAGGCAGCCTCCATTAAGTATGCCAAAGGTATTTCCTGCAATGCAGGCCTACAGGCCAAAGTCATCACAGAAGATAGACTTTGCCTTGGGTAGGGGAGATGTGTAATGGCTGACAGGAACTCTGAACCAAGCAGGGATACAGGACACAAAGCCTTAATAAAGCTGGAGATTCTGGCAAGGCACTCAGTCAGGGTGCTCCTACTGAAGCATGACTGACAAAGTAAACCAAATTGGGAAGAGGCATACCCAGGAGGGGTCTGGCGAAGGTACTACAAAGCCTGCCTGCTTCACAGTTCCAGCTCAGAAAAGCAAACAGACAAAGGTACAAACTACAAAAACAGCTTGAAAACGAGCTTTCATCTTCTCAATCTGTAAAGTAAGGGTGAAGATTTACCACACAGAGATGTTTGTAGAGAAAGGCTGAAGCTGAAGAAAATCTGCCCTAACCTTGGCCCCTGCCTTTCTAGGTTATGATGAACCCCATCTTGGATGGAGGTCCTTCTTCGGGTTGAGGAAAACCAAGGGCACGATGATGACACAGGAGGGTGATCTAGCTATGAAACTTCCCATGTCGCACTCTGTCCATCCAGCAGACCTAGTCTGGGTGTTCGGAGTGGAAGAATGAAGACCAGTTAATTGAAACACACAGATCTTGTACATCTCATAGACAGATGCCTTTTCAGGGTTGAAATTGAATCACTTTAAGATGAGGTGTGCTTTCAAATACAAGATACCAGGGAAAAGAAAGTGAAAAGCCCACAAACTCGCTCATCTACCCACACAGATCTCCCTGCATCAAACTAATATTTATTTCCTATTCTTGGGGAGTACTAAGTTGATGTGATTTAGTATTTGCCCTTAAATATAACCCTTCCGCTAAAAATATAAAAGTGGGGATTTTTTTATCTCCAAAGTTGACATTAACTACTTTCACAATTTTTAAAAGCTGGTGATGACATACAAACAATAAAAACAAAACACAGGGGCTGGGAAGGTGGCTCAGTGGTAGAGTGCTTGCCTTGCGTGCATGAGGCCCTGGGTTTGATTCCTTAGCACCACATAAGCAAAAAGAAAAAAAGCCGGAAGTGGCGCTGTGGCTCAAGTGGTAGAGCGCTAGCCTTGAGCTGAAGAGCTGAGGGACAGCACCCAGGCCCTGAGTTCAGGTCCAACGACTGGACCCCCCCCCCCCAAAAAAAAAATACAACCCACAAAAACAACAACAACAAGAAAAACAAGCTATCCTTTTCTAGAAAGACTGGATGGTCTGGCCACCTGGGGCCGCATTCCTAATAGGTGAATCAACAGCAGGTATGTTGGTGGCTGCCACCATCTAAAGATGAAATTTGTTCTCCACTCCTCCACAGCCCTCAGTATCCCCCTACTCATAGGGTAATAAATATATTTTTGTGGCAGAGGGGGCATAAGTACATATAATATATATTATATAACATATAATATAGATATACACACCAAACTTCAGTGTATGTGTCTATTTAGACATACCATTAGTCTAAAAAAAGGGGAGAAGAAAGGAAAATCTAAGTACCCAAAATAAGGAACAGGGATATAGTGCCAGATAAGACAGAGGGGTGCTAGGCTAAGTTATTTTCTATGAACATATAGATCACCAAAACTGGACCCAGAGAGATATAACAATCCTAAATAGAATGACAGCCTAGACAAAAATGTAATCGTTATCAAAGTGGTATCTTCTAAAGAAAAAAAACACTCAGCTTAGGCAGTTTGACAGGGGAATTCTACCAAATTTAACTCTGAAAGTATTTTAGGCTGGTAAATGCAGAGAAAGAGAAAACCTTTTTATTCTCCCCAAGAGATGAGTCTCACCATCGTGCCCAGGGTAGTCTTAAACTTCTGAGCTCAAGTGATCCTCCTGTCTCAGCATCTTCAATAGCTGGGACGACAAGCTTGTACCACTAAACCTGGCCAGAGAAGACCTTTAATAGAACAATGATGACACTAACACAACTGGATAAAGACAGCCCAGCACTAAAAAAGAAAATTCACTTGATCCCCAGACCTGCCCCCCCCACATATTCAGAAGATTATAGACTATTCCCCCCATGCAAATGTCAGTAAGCTCTGGCTATAGAAGAGTTCATCCCAGAAATATGATCCAATAAGATAAAATCTATTACCCAACAAATCAATACATTCGTCCTTAAATGTCAAAATTGCACTTAAAAACTTCCAGTCACCATTTTTTAAAATTACAAAATACTACAAACCAGGCACCAGTGGCCCATGCCTGTATTTCTAGCTACTCAGGAGGCTGAGATCTGAAGATCACAGCTCCAAGCCAGCCCCATCAGGAAAGTCTGTGAGATTCTAATCTCCAATTAACCACCAAAAATCCAGAAGTGGCTCAAGCGGTAGAGCACTAACCTTGAGCAAAACAAAAACAACTCATGGACAGCTCCCAGGCCCTAAGTTCAAGCCCAAGGACAGGGAGAGGACAGAGGGGAGAGTGGGGGAGGGGGAGACAGAGACAGAGTCAAAGAGAAAGAGACAGAAATGTTCAGGACTCTAACACAGGACAGGGTCATATATAGTAATTCTAATACTATACAGTAGGCTTAAAATGCTACCTGAAAAATAATGCAAAGAAAAGCTATAAAATGGACAACATTTGCTTTCATCAGACAAAAAGTCAAATATGGTAGCATACTTTACTGAGGGAAGTCCACTTAGTTCAACCATGGGAGTACAAATCAGTACAATTTATTCAGAAGGCAATGTGGCTTTACCTTTTAAGGTTATAAACATACTCTTTGGTATAGCAATTCTGCTCTTAGTAATGTATTCTACAAATATTCATTCTTTCAACAAATATTTTTTGCCACCCACTACATGGCAGGCACTGGAGAGCAATTTTTTTCTCCTGGTGTTTCCATTCTTGTTAAAGAGGAAACACAGGTAAAGCAAGTCAACAAGTATGCATGCAATTATACCAATTATAACATCAGGTAAGTGATAAGGTAAACAAGGATAGGCTGGTCTGAGAAGGCCTGAGGAAAGCACAAGAATGTGGGAACGGCAACTGAAAAGGAAGTCAAGGAGTTGCACACTCATTTGGCTTTCTTTTTTGGGGGGTCTGGTCGTGGGGCCTGAACTCTGGGCCTGGGCGCTGTCCCTCAGCTCTTCAGCTCAAGGCTATTGCTCTACCACTGAGCCACCTTCCCAGCCCCTCATTTGGCTTTCTTGCCCCCTATTTTGCTGTTTATTCTTCTAACAGCATTTTTGTTCATTCCAGAAAAGTGAGTACCACTTTAATGTTTCTCTTTCTGACCTGACAAAACCAAAAATTAATCAGGTCCTTTTAATACAGTGCACTCTGGAAGGCACTAGGGAAACACTGTTTTCTTAAACATGATACATAACAATTTTGAGTTTTCAAATATATTCCCATTTTGCCTGTTGTATGCTAAGCATTTTAACAAAAGTGTGTTGAGCTAGTCAAGAATTTTTAGTATGGATAGACCTTTCCTAAGAGACCAGATCAGTTTCACAAAAGACATATACCAGTTACTAGCCCATAAGCAAAACTAAAACTATCCGTCTCTGTCCTTCCAGCAAAATCAAGAACCACGGACTTAGAGGCAGCTGCAGTCTAATTTCACAATCTTTTCAATATTAAAGCTGAAGCTCTGACTGGCTTCCAGACCTAATTGGATAAATATGTTTACACTGAGTGGCTAGTGTCCATTAAGGGCATTCTAATTGACCCCCAAAGATATCAATGTTACAGTAACACCTGAGAACACTACAAACTAATCTAGTCAAACACCACCATGAAATAGCAAGGCTTCGAAACTGCATGAGTGATACGTGCTTCAAACAGCCAGATAATTAAGAAATCAGCAAAGAGGAAAAGAAATCTGTCCCTGTAAAATATGTTGCTATCTCAATTTTGAAATCAGCTTTACGTAACCACACTCTTCTTTCCAAAGGAAGGGGGGGAAAAAAGGCCAAAAACCGACTTCAGGACCAGCTTCAGTACAGATTTCAAGTGCCTGGTCACCTGCCCAGACGACCACCGATTTCCCCTCTAGCAGCTGAGGATGCTGTCCATCCTTCTTTTCCCTTGGACACCTAGCAGGTCACTGAATCCTTAAACAAAGGTCCAGCAGTCCTTAAGAGGCGAAAGCGACTCTTGACAACAGTGAACCGGGAACTAAGGACGTGAGAGATCAGGGTACCCAAAAGCTTCCAGAGAGAAAGGCGCTGCTTTCTGTGCACGATTTGAGGGGTCACCGCACGACAGGTCAGAGTGGTCCCCAAAGCTCCGAGGGTCGGGCGCCGGCCCCAGAGTCTTCCACCTCTTACGGGGATGCTTAAACCCCACGACGCGACTCTCCGTGCTGGGTCAGGACTTTCCCCGCAGCTGCGGTACCCGCAGCCAATCAATGGGGGGGGGTCCCCACTGGCTCACCTGGGCCAAGGACAGGGGGTGTAAGCCTGGGTTCGAAGTGCTGGATGGGTGAGTGGGGGTGAGCGGAGGGCCGAAGCGAAGTCGCGGGGAGTGAAGGAGCGTACGAGGGCAGATGCCGGGGGAAAGGAGGGGAGGGGAGGGATGCTTGCAGGCCAGGCAAGGGGAAGAAGAGCCTGGAGAGGGGTCGAAGGGCACGCCGGGGCTGGGAGCAGGGGAGCGACGCGCCCTCGGACCCCTCACTTCACGGGGAGCGAGCCGGGTGCGGGACCACGCCGCCCCCTCCCCGCTCCCCCGCGCCGCGCCGCGCCTCACCTGCCCAGCGCCCGCTTCATGCCCGCGTCCGAGGCGCAGCACGGCGGCTCAGCCGGCCCCTTGCCCGCCAGGCGCAGATTCTGTTTCAGACGGCAGTCGGCGTCCAGCGCCGCGGCGGCCGAGCCGGAGGAGGGCGAGCCCGAGGCAACGCAGTGTTCATGCTCCAAGCTGATGGGCTCGGTCCGCTTCCTCATCCCGCGGCCGACACAGCTGACCACCCACGGCGCCCGACGGCCTCGTGCGCTGGGCCCCTCGCCGCCCTCGCCTCAGCCCACAGCCGTCGCCGCGGGGAGCAAGGAACCCACTGCCCTCACATCCCAGCTCCAGGCCGGGGCGCTCGCTACGGACCAGCGCTGGGCTGGTGGAAGGGGCAGGTTGGCCGCAGCCCGCCAATCAGCGCCGGGCTCCAGCGGGCCCGATCCTGACCACGCCCCCTATCACCTCGCGTGGGGGGAAGCGCGTCCGGCATCCCCTGCGCTGACCCGCGGCCATCTTGGAGAAGGGCAGACGAAGCCGTAGCCACTCCTGGGCCGAGCTTAACAACTGGGTTTTGCTGCACATCCGTCTGGCGTCGGCTCTGGAGTTCCACGGGTGCCTTCGTCGAGGTACCCGGCTTCGCCAGCCGACGAACTCGGGCCCGGTTTCAGGGCTCGGAGTGGTGAGAAAACCCGGAGGACACCATCTATCCAAGAGGTCATCCGCAAGCCCGAGCCGCCAGCGCTGGGGCGGCTCCTGCCACTCGCGCTCCCGGCGTCTGGCGCTCCGAACACTGGTAACCCAGGAATACAGTCAAAAGTAAAGGTAGCAAGCCGGGCACCGGGGTCATGCCTGCAATCCCAGCTTCCCCGGAGGCTAAGATCCGAGGGTCCAGGTCTGAAGCCAGCCCGGGCTGGAAAGTCCTTGAGAATCCTATCTCCTGTTAAGCACCCGAGAAAGCCAAGAGTGGTGCTGGGTCTCCACTGGCAGAGCTCTAGCCTTCAGCAACAAAACACCCCCACAAAACTCAGGGACCCCCAAGCCCTGAATTCAAGCCTCAGGACCACGCGCATGCGTGCACACACATACTGATGTTATTATGATGTTGCCAAATAATTTCTTTGACCAGGTATCACAACCTACCAGTGCATTTGTGGGGTCATCTCCACTGTTTTTGTTGTTTCTATTTTATGCAGTACTGTAAACTTGGGGATCCAGAAAGTGACTTAACGTTGGGGGATAAGGAGCGTTTTGAACTAGCAGTCACAAAATCCTTTCTAGAAAAACCAAACAGCAAGCCAGCCCTGATATAACAGTTGTGGGAAGGCTAAGACAGGAGGATTGCATGTTACCATCGCGTTTAGGCAAGATTAATTTTTAAAAGGCTAGGTGTGTGGCTCAGGAGTAGAGTACTTGACTAGCATACATTCTAGGTTAGATGCCCAGTCCTGCCCTGAGAGGGTGTGTGTGTAGGGGAAGCAAGTTAAGAGGGAATTAGAAGAAATATAAGGGATATTGAATCTCACTTGCACTAAGCTTTTTCCATACATTTATTATCTCCTAGTTATCAGAGCTTTAAATATACTTAAGCGTTGGTGAGGCCCACATTTATATTTCTAGGTCAAGCCCCTTCCTGGAACCCCAGATGCCATTATCCAAAGATCTATTCATGAGTGGTGCTCAAATGTGAATACCCACCTCTTCAGTCACTCCAACTCTACCCTTAAACTTAACCTGGCAAATGGTAACTCCGTCTTGGTACTTACTTCATCAGGTCAAGACCCCAAGACAGGGCTGGGAAGGTGGCTCAGTGGTAGAGCGCTTGCCTTGCATGCATGAGGCGCTGGGTTCGATTCCTCAGCACCACATAAGCAAAAAGAAAAAGCCAGAAGTGGCGCTGTGGCTCAAGTGGTAGAGTGTTAGCCTTGAGCTGAAGAGCTGAGGGACAGCATCCAGGTCCAGAGTTCAGGCCCCAGGGCCGGACCCAAAAAAAAAAAAAAAGACTCCAAGACATCCTTCATTTCTCCTTTCTTATGCCATAGCATCAGTACCATCAAGCTTTCAAAATCTATCCAAGATTTAACCAGGTACCACTTCTACTACCATCCCTATCATGGGCTAAGCAGCCATCATTCCTCATCAGTGTTAATTTTTGTCAGTCACAGGGCTTGAACTCAGGGCTTGGTTGCTGCCATTGAGCTCTTTTGCTCAAGGCTAGTGTAAGGTCCACTCCGGGATGGCTAGCAGACTCCACCCTCCTCGCAGCAAAGTCTCCACCCAGGACCTACATTACCTAGGCAACTGGGACACCTGGAAGAGGTCACATCTGCATCTCCTGAGGTCACATCTAAATTTGATGTGGCCACATCTTTCTCCTCCCATACCCTAACTAAGGCCTAGTCCAGGCCCAGATGCCCTCTCTCTGCTCTTTTCTAGCTCTTTCTCAGCTCTTTCCTTCTCTTCTCTTTCCCAGCTCCCTTCTCTTTTCTAACTCTCTCTCTCTGCTCTTTTCTAGCTCTTTCCTCTCTTTTTTCTAGCTCTCTTCTCCTTCTCAGCTTTCTCTTTCCCAGCTCTCTCTCTTTTCCAGGTCTTTCCCAGCCACGTGGAGGGCCAACCTGGCCTGGTCCCAGCAGGTCTACTGAATAAAAATCTACCCTTTACCTAAATACCACGTGCATGATGCTGTTCTTACTTGGCTACCTCTTTTTAAAAAACCTAACAGCTAGCACTCTACCACGTTGCCCACAGCTCCATTTCCAGTTTTGTGATGGTTAATAGTGTAAGGTCCTCTCCTGGATGGCTAGCAGACTCCACCCTCCTCAGCAGCAAAGTCCCCACCCAGTACCTGCGTTACCTAGGCAACTGAGACACCTGGAAGAGGTCACATCTGCATCCCCTGAAGTCACATCTGAATTTGATGTGGCCACACCTTTCTCCGCCCATACCCTAGATAAGGCCTAGCCCAGGCCCAGACGTTCTCTCTCTGTTCTTTTCTTGCTCTCTCTGCTCTTTTCTAGCTCTTTTCTCTCTCTTTCCTCTCTTTCCCAGCCGCGTGGAGTGCCAACCTTGCCTGGTCCCAGCAGGTCTACTGAATAAACCTACCCCTTACCTGAATACCACGTGCGTGCTGGTGCTGTTCTTACTCGGCTACCTCTTTTTAAAAACCTAACAAATAGGAGATAAGAAGCTCACAGTCTTTCCTGCACAGGCTGGCTTTGAACCTTGATCTTCAGATCTTAGCCTTCTGAGTAGCTAGGTTTACAGGTGTGAGCCACAAGTGCTTAGCTACATCTGGATTATCTTAACCACTTGGGGCTCCTATCTACGTTTGCTGTCCACTTGATTCAGTTGCCATGTAAGTTGTTTGGTTTTTTTTTTAATAGCTAAATTTACATCCACCCCATATCTCAAAATTAAAAGCTGCCTAGCAGTGGTAGTTCATGTGTATAATCCTAGCTATTTAGGAGGCTGAGATTTTAGGATTTTGGTTTGAAGCCAGTCTAGGCAGAAAACTCCCAAGAGATTCTTATCTCCAACTACTAGCAAAAAAGCCAGATATGGTTGAAGTGCTAGATTGCTAGCCTTGAGCAAAGCAGCCAACTGAGATTGCAAGCCCTGAGTTCAAGCCCCAGTACCCGTCACAACCTGCCAGGTGCTACTTAATCTGCCATGACTGAGAGCAACACAATAATGGAGATTGGACCATGCAACTGAGATTTAGCAACAGATCCCAAGATTCCATTAACCAAAGTTTTTTAAAAGTCTAATGCTAGGAAGTAAGGTACAAACTTCAACATATGCCAATATTTTGTATACAAGTGGTTGGAGACCTTATTCTGGGAAGGGAAGCTAAACAATAAGCCTACAATTTGTATAAACCTAAGTCTACCCTTAGGCTCCCACAGTTTAGGGTGGAATGTGAGTTCCCGTTAAGCCGTTACTGATTGACCTTTCCAGGAAAACTCTCAGCATTCCAGGAGTGTATTGGGGAGAAGGCATTCCAAACTGCCAATCCTTTCGGAGTCCCATAGCTTAGATTTTTGGGCTCTCACTGTACCAATGAATAAATAAAGCTTTTGTTCAAAAATGCAGGATCTTACCAGACACAGCTCTTGCCTTCTCACTACTCCCTGCAGTGGCACTCACATCCCTCCTTAGAGCCTCTGCACTTTAGTTCTTGCAACCTGGAATTCTCTTCCATACTATGGCCCACACTCACATGTTCCTTCCTCAAAGGCTCTATGTTCTCTGAATACCTTAATGCAAAAACCCTTATCCCCTCTCACCTACACTGCATGTACTTTCGTTGGTTTATTGTGTTCGTGCTTATACCAATATATCTGACATAGATTTTTCTTTTCTTTTTTTGTCAGTCATGGGGCCTGAACTCTAGGCCTGGGCGCTGTCCCTCAGCAATTCAGATTAAGGCTAGCACTCTACCACTTGAGCCACAGTGCCATTTCTGGCCTTTTCTGCTTATGTGGTGCTGAGGAATTGAACCGAGGGCCTCATGCATGCAAGACAAGCACTCTACCACTGAGCCACCTTCTTTATCTGTGTTCTCCCACACAGCCATGTAGACTTGGGAAAAGGACCTTTATATTACTGCTTTGTTTTCAGTGTTCAGGCTAGTGATGGGTTTATAGTAGGTAATTAATAAGTATTTGGTGAAGTATAGACCGAATCATCACAACTCCCTACAGGCTTATTCCTGTCTCGATTTCACAAGTAAGGAAATGCTCATCAAGGTCTTTAAGAAACATTGCCTAGCAGGGTGCTGGTGGCTCATGCCTGTAATCCTAGCTACCTTAAGCAAAAAAAGTCAAGCCAAGGTAGAGTACAAGATCCTAAATTCAAGCTCCAGTATCCCCCCACCCCCAACCTATTTAGCTAAATTATGACTTAATGTAGAGATGAAAAGGAAAATGTCGTTCAACATAAGATCCAGAAGCCCCTTTTTAAAGTTAGACATTCTTTTGCCCATTTTTCAGATAATTGTTACCTCTTTTTGGAAAGGAGCAACCTAAGTATCTAGAGTTCACCACCATGGATCCAATATTGCTTTTTACAAATTCATATGGTCATCAGAATTGCTCCCTTGCAGATTGCTCCCCCACCTCCAAACTGATGCCTGCAACAACTTCTTCAGAACCTCTATCAAACCAAGACTAAGCCAGGTGCTGGTGGCTTACACCTGTAATCCTACCTAATCAGGAGGCTGAAATCTGAGGATCATGGTTCAAAGTCAGCCCGGTCAGGAAAGCCCAGGAGACTCTTATCTCCAATAAACCACCCAGAAAACAGGAAGTGGTGCTGTGGGTCAAGTGGTAGAGTGCTCGCCTTGAGCTAAAGAGCTGAGGGACAGCACCCAGGCCCAGAGTTCAAGCTCCAGGAAAACAAACAAAAACAATAATGACCAATCAGCTTGATCGTAATAGGGTGTATGTATACATACCTTCTCACCTCTGGCTCAACTCCTTTTCTATTTAACCAACTGCTAATATCTGAACTGGAAGATTGGCTAAAGCCCTCTTCACGTGGCACTGGGACTTCCTAATAAGCCTCCATTCTCAGCCTACCATCACTCTTTCTATTTGGCATGCTGGGACAAGTGGCTGGACCTGACATGTTGAACCCCAGGAGTGAGGGCCAGTTTCAGTACACACAGGAGGTACCCAATAAAGATGGTTTCACTTTAGTAACTAAATACCCACACTGTGAAAGGGAAGATTATGTCATAACGAGTTTCTTTCTACCTTTATGGTTTCTAGCCTTTCCTCTTCAGGGTGCTCCTTGTAAATTGAATCAAATGGGAAAAAGTAAAAAAGAAGCTGAGGGCATGCATTTATCTCTGCTGCGCTGAGTCGCCTGGTTATCTTCCTAGGAGCACGAAAAACAGTTTTTCACTTATCTCAGGGGCTCAGACCCACGTCACGGACACCTTGAGTCGCTGACTCCTGGAGGCTGTAGAAACACGTCCCTTCTCCGCCACCGTAGCCGAGAGCCCCGGCAGCATGCTGCGATTGGCTGATCATGTTTTGGCGCCAAAGCCAGCAGCGTGGAGTTAGGGCTGTGTGGGACGCCGAACGAGCTGGGTGAGGCTGCCGGAGCCCACGGCCGTTTGTCCTGAGACCCGGCGGTTGACTGGACGAGGCCACCAGGGCGCGTCCACCATGTTCGGCGAAAAAGCCATGGAGCTGGTCCGCGAGCTGCACCGCGCGCCTGAGGGGCAGCTGCCGGCTTTCAACGTGAGGAGGCGCGGGGCCGGGAGCGGCGCGGGGGCCGGGGCCGGGGCCGGGGGGCAGCGCGGGGGCCGGGGGCTGGGGGCTGGGGGCTGGAGCGGCGCGGCGGGCGGGGTGGGGCCGGGGCCGGGGCCGGGGCCGGGGGGCAGCGCGGGGGCCGGGGCCGGGGGGCAGCGCGGGGGCCGGGGCCGGGGGCCGGGGCCGGGGGGCAGCGCGGGGGCCGGGGGCTGGGGGCCGGGAGCGGCGCGGCGGGCGGGGCGGGGCGGGGCCGGGGCCGGGGCCGGGGGCTGGAGCGGAGCGGCGCGGCGGGCGGGCGGGGCGGGCCGGGGCCGGGGCCGGGGGCAGCCTCTGCCCCCCAGCACTTCATTGTGGGCCTGGGCAGCTCACCACGGGGGCTTCACGTCCCCGCCTAGGCCGCTCCCCGAGCGGGAGGGATGAAACCAAATACTGAACTCCGGTTGACACGACCCAACAGGCCGGTGAGTTCCTTCCTCTGAGTCGGAGACTCTTCCTGGTACGGTTCGGCGTTCCTGTTAGGCAGACTCACCCATTGCTTTAGAGCAATCCAGCACTTGATGCTCCCCTCCACGCTGCCCCCCCCCCCCCCCCCCCAGGCATCGATGTGAGGTGATTAAAAGCGGACCCGCGAGCCAGGCGCCGGTGGCTCACGCCTGTAATCCTCGCTGTTCAGGAAGCTGAGATCGGAGGGTCAAGGTTCAAAGCCAGCCCGGACAGGAAAGTCAGCGAGACTCCTATCTCCAATTAGCGACCAGAAAACCGGAAGTGGGACTGAGGCTCAAAGTGGTAAAGCGCTGGGGACAGCGGCCAGGCCCTGCAAAAGAAAGGAAAGAAAGAAGAGAGAGAAAGAAAGAAAAGAAAAAGAGAGAGAAGGAAGGAAAGGAAACAAAAGAAAGAAAAAAGCAGAACTGCAGGGCTCTGGGAGTCTAGTAAATAGCCAGTAGCCTTTGCCCCACCAGCAGGAGGTGGGGCCAGGAGGGAGGGAATGAAGAATTTCTGAACCTGCCTGGGATTCTGGCTTTCAGACCTTGGTCTGGTCGATTGTCTCAAATGCAAAAACTGATGTGATAATGATCTTACTTCAAAGCTCAACGCTATAGTAATTGAAGTGAGGGGGCCTGAACGTCTAACGTGGTGTAAAAGTAGAGTTTGCTGTTAATTTCTACTAGGTATGGTGTAAAAGTAGAGTTTGCTATTAATTTCTACTAGGGTTGCGACTTCCACTTCACAAATAAGATAATTCTGATTTTTCTGTTACTATTACTCCACCCAGGGTGACATGCAGTTGACCTGCTTCATCTTTTATCGTCATAATAAACCCTTGAGTTTTTCACATTTCCATTTTTGCAGCCATATATGCACAGGCTTGGAGAGCTTGTCTTACTAAGATGACATATAAAATAAGAAGCAAACCTAGGACCCAAGTACACTCTAAATCCTTTTAGGTTATATGAATAATGTTGCTAGGAACATGTATGCAAAGTTTTTTGTGAACTTATATTTTCACACAAAACATATACCTAGGAATGGAATTGGATATAAACCTAGGAGAGGAATTACTGGATCCTATGGTAATTATGTGTTTTAACTTTGTGAGGAACTGTTGAATTGTTTTCCACAGGCTGTACCATTTTACATTCCTCACCAATACATATAGCCATTGTAGTAGTATGAAAGGGCTATGGTTTTTTTTTTTTAACAAGGTAAATCAAGTTGCCATGGAATTGACAGGGAAAATGCATGTGTCTCAATATCAGTTTTTGGATTATGTGTTTCAGGAGGATGGAATCAGACAAGTTCTAGAAGAGATGAAAGCATTATATGAACAAAACCAGTCTGATGTGTAAGTTTTGATAACACTGATATTTCAAAACAACCTAAGAAATAAGATGTTGAAATCAGATAAGCATGCATCCATTTTTAGATTTTTTAAAAATTATAACTTCATACTCTGATTATACAAATGAAAAGATTAGGGCCACATTAATAGATAGTAAAGTCTTAGGCAAGTTATTTTACTGGGGGGTGGCGGGGGGGTGGGGGGTGGGGGTAGGAGTGTTCCCCTGGTGCTGTTCCTGAGCTTTTGTGCTCAAAGCTAGCATTCTACCACTTGAGCCACACACAGCTCCACTTCTGGCTTTTTGGTGGTTAATTCGAGATAAGAGTCTTATGAACTTTCTTGCCTGGGCTGGCTTTGAAGCGTGAGCCACTAGTGCCCAGCTTGTTATTTCATTTGTGACTTCTTAAAGCACTGGTGCTCACACCTGTAATCCTAGTTACTGAGGAGGCTGAGATGTGAGGATCACGGTTCCAAGCCAGCCTGGGCAGAAAAGTCCGTGAGACTCTTATCTCCAGTAAACCACCAGAAAACCAGAAGTGGCACTGTGGCTCAAGTGGTAGAGCGCTTGTCTTCAGCTAAATAGCTGAAGACAGTGCCCAGGCCCAGATTTCAAGCCCCATGACTGACCAAAACAAAAAGCACCGATGTGAAGATAGTTGCTCTTCACTTCAGTTAACTGCTGCTAATCATAAATGGACAAAAACAAATACATAAATTGATACTTGTTGGCTTTGAACTTTTCACTTACACTGGAGTATACATATTTATTTTTTGCTCTAAATACTTTTACCAGGAATGAAACAAAGTCAGGTGGAAGAGGTGATCTGATACCAACCATCAAATTTCGTCATTGTTCTTTATTAAGAAATCGGCGCTGCACTGTAGCCTATTTGTAAGTTTCTCAGCTTCTTCATGATATGGCAGGGCAGGAAACCCAGGATAGTTTTTTATGTCATTTGATTTCCCAGGTATCTGTATCAAATGGATAGCAGAAAATCTAAGATTTGTCTCTCTCTAAGCATTCCAATTTTTTTTTCCTCTTCTTAAAACTTTTCTTATGAGCTGAGTGTTGGTAGCTCATGCTTATCTACCTCCTAGCTACTGAAATCTGAGGATCATGGTTCAAAGCCAGCCTGGACAGTGAGACTTTTTATCTTTAACCACCAAAAAACCAGAAGTGGCACTGTGGCTCAAGTGATAGAGCACTAGTCTTGAGAAAAACAAAACAAAAAAACCCTTAAGGATAATGCCTAGGCCCTGAGTTCAAACCCCAGGCCTGGCACCAAAAAGAACAACAGAAAACAAAACTGCAGCATTCATAAAAGGAGAAAGAATATGAACCTCATGGAGTTATCATACCCTCCTTAGGCCTTTTGATGTTTTGCCATATCTGTTCGTATTTTGCTTTTTAATGATGGATTATTTTAGTTCCTTTAATATTTTTCTTTTTTCTTTTTTGTCGGTCATGGGGCTTGAACTGTGGGCCTGGGCATTGTCCCTGAGCTCTTCAGCTCAAGGCGAGCATTCTACCACTTGAGCCACAACACCACTTCCAGCTTTTTCTGTTTATGTGGTGCTGAAGAATCGAACCCAGGGCCTCATGCATGCAAGGCAAGCACTCTACCACTGAGCCACCTTCCCAGCCTTCCTTTAATATTTTTCTTATTTCTCCAAGAAATAAGGACCTTTTGGGGCTTCATAACCACTGTGTATTTTCAACACCTGGAGAACTGAGCAGTGCCTTCAGGGCATCATCCTATCCCTAGAACTCTTCCTCCATGGCTCTAAAGATATCTTAGAGTTGGTTTGTTTCTATTAGCCAAATAAAGTTCCGACCAAAAAAAAAAAAAAAAAAAAGGAACAAAGAAAGACTTCTGATCCCCCTCTTATTTTATCCCTTCTCATGTCCTAGGTACGACCGGTTGCTTCGGATTAGAGCTCTCAGGTGGGAATATGGTAGCATCTTGCCAAATGCTTTACGATTTCACATGTCTGCTGAAGAAGTAAGTTAAAAACAGGTCAAGTTTATGAGAATGCTGAGCGTGACATTGTTTTCAATTGGTGTTTTTCTTTTTTTTAACATCTGTTCTTCAGAATTTTGTAGCATTCATTTATTTTGTGTGCACTGTGATAAGAAGCATGTAGTCATGAATGGTTCTTAATGCTTTGTGGAATATTCTCTTTTTTGTTTTGTTTTGTCGGTCATGGAGCCTGAACTCTGGGCCTGCGCACTGTCCCTCAGCTCTTCAGCTCATGGCTAGTGCTCTACCACTTGAGCCACAGCGCCACTTCCAGTTATTTCTGTTTATGTTGTGCTGAGGAATCAAACCCAGAGCCTCATGCATGCAAGCAAGCACTTTACCACTGAGCCACCTTCCCAGCCCAAATTCTCTTATTAATAAAATAGAATCCCATATATTATCATTAATCTATCTCTGAGATAAAGAAACTGGCATTATATATACACATATATATTTGCTTTTATGTATATAAAGCCTACACTTGCATATATACTCTCTAATCAACATTATAGTTTCATATTGATAATGAAACTCTTGATTTTTTCTAGTCATTGAGACATAGGACTAGTCCAGTATTTAAGGACATAGACTTGGTGTCCAGTTTCACCTTAAATATTAGGATTGAGATGAGCCAGTCCTTTTTCTGCCTGACCCAGGAATGGTGCCACCTTGGTCATAAATTGACTGTCCATTCATTGGTGGATTTGGGATGGAGGTACTGTCTTTTCTGTTTGTCTAATTATCTGTCTATAGCAATTGTACTGTTGTCATTACTGTAACTTTATCATATGTTAAGAAGATATTCCCATCTTGATCGTCTTTTTCAAAAGTTTTGACTATTTTTGGTCCTTTACACTTTCATGCAAATTTTACACTCAAGTTCTGTTTGTTTAATTGCAATTTTTTTTAGATTGAATTGAATCTATTAAGTCATTTGACATTATATTGAATCATGTAATCTGTGAATGTTATAGCTATATATGTAGGTCTTTCATTTATCTCAACAGTCTAAAAAGGGGCTGGGAAGGTGGCTCAGTGGTAGAGCGCTTGCCTTGCGTGCTTGGCCCTGGGTTCGATTCCCCAGCACCACATAAGCAAAAAGAAAAAAGCCGGAAGTGGCGCTGTGGCTCAAGTGGTAGAGCACTAGCCTTGAGCTGAAGAGCCGAGGGACAGCGCCCAGGCCCAGAGTTCAGGCCCACTACCGGACCCAAAAACAAAAAAAAAAAAAACAGTCTAAAAAAACACTAATAACTGGGGGTTAGAGGAGTGGCTCAGTGGCAAAGTGAATGCTTAACATAATCCCCAGCACTACAAAAAACCCCAAAAGTCAGATTTACTGTACTAACATAAAATTCACATTCCATAAAGTTTGCCATTTTAAAGTATACAATGCAGTGGATTTCAGTATATTCACACAGTTGTGCTTCCATTATCATCATCTTATTCCAGAACATTTTCTGTACCCTAAAAAGAAGCCCCATATCATTTGTCAGTTCTTCAGTGTCTCCTTTTGTACCCCTGGAAATCATTGATCTACTTTCTTTCTTTATATAGTTGATTATTAGGGGTTTTCATGAGAGTAAAATCTTGTAACATGTAGCCTGCCTTTCTTTCAAAATTAACATAAATTTTCAAGGTTGATCCATATTATCATAAACCAGAATATTATCTGTCTGTGGCCAATTATTGTTCCATTGTATAGATATACATCTGTGCATTCATCAATTGATGGACAGTGGATTGTTTTCTCAAAAATAGCTTAGTTCTCAGAAAGAGCATCTATTCTATTTTATAATTCTGAAGTAGTGTCCTTTTTTGGGGGGGGGGGGAGTGGGGGTTGGTCTTGGGCTTGAACTTTGGGCTGGAGCACTGTCCCTGAGCTCTTCAGCTCAAGGCTAGTGCTCTACCACTTGAGCCACAGCACCACTTCTGATTTTCTGGTGGTTTATTGGAGATAAGAGACTCACGGGGAGGAGCGGGAGGGGATGGGAAGGAGAAACAAAGGAGGAGGCAACAATGCTTGATAAGAAATGTACTCATTACTTTGCCCATGTAATTGTAAGCCCTCTGTACAGTATTTTCACAATTAAAAAAAAAAGTCTCACACTTTCCTGCCCAGGCTGGCTTTGAACCACAATCCTCAGATCTCAACCTCCTGAGAAGCTAGGATTATAGGCTTGAGCCACTGGTGCCCAGCAGTAGTGTCTTTTTGTAATCTTGTTTCTGGGCTATATTCCTTATGTTTTTGATGACGTATGCTGGAATGGTAGCTTTGTGAGAACAGAAGCCTTTTTTCATTTGTTGCATGATCCATCCAAGAACTCAAAACAGTGCTTGGATATGAAGAAGCAATTAACAATATTTGTAATACAAATGAACAGTGGTCACAATAATGATTCACATTGAGATGTGCTTCTGGTTTTGAAAAGATGGGAGCTCTCTTATAACTATGACTATCTTTTTGCAGATGGAGTGGTTCAATCATTATAAAAAGATCCTTGCTACTTACATGAGGTCACTGGGAGGAAATGAAGGTTTGGATATCACACAGGATATGAAACCTCCGAAAAGCCTATATATTGAAGTATGGATATGAAACCTCTGAAAAGCCTATATTGAAGTATCTATATCTGCTTTCATATGAACATTGTTCTAACATTTATCAAAGATGAGGAGCACATGTGAATCTGTATTTGTTCCTGTTAACTCAGTCCAATCCCTGGGGCCTCACTGGCTCTCAGGCATTTGAACACTTGAGCTCCAGCTCCAGCCCCCTTTATGCATTGCTTATTTTTGAGCTAGGGTCTTTATGCCCAAGACAGCTTGGTCTACAATCCTCCTGCTTGTTCTTGCCTTTGTCACTGGATGACAAGCATGAGTATTGTGTCTAGCCAGTGTTCATTTCCCTGCAGCTGGGCTAACAGGTATATGCCACTACACCCAGCCATTAGTTGAGATGGAATCTCACAAACTACTTTTTGCCCCAGGCTGGCCTCAAACTGTCATCTTTGGACTACAGGCTTGAGCTACTATGCCCAGCTTGAAATTTGGATTTTAATTTTTTTCTTGCCTAGTAATATAATTCTCTGAGCAGGGATAGCGAGTCACAGCTTCCAGTCAATATCCAGTCACAGAGATAAACAACTGGTGGTCTACATTGTACTGTGTTGCTAAGCTGCATGTCAAACGCATATTGTGTGTCTGTCTGTCTTTCTGTCTGTCTGTGCACTGGTACTGGGGCTTAAACTTGGGGCCTGACCATTGTCCCTTAGCTTTTTTACTCAAGGCTAGTGTTCTACCATTTGAACCACAGCTCTACTTCCAGCTTTTGGTGGTTAATTGGAGATAAAGAGTTTTATAGACTTTCCTGCCTGGGCTGGGGCTTTGAACTGTGATCCCCAGACCTGAGCCTCCTGAGTAGCTAGGATTACAGGCATGAGCCACCAGCGCCCTGTTTCCTCCCCCCTCCCGAAGTCAGTTTAGCTAGGGGTTTGTAAATTTTATTGACCATTTCAAAGAACCAAGAACCAACTGTTAAACTGATTTTGCAATTATCTCTATACACTCTATTTTGCTTATTTCAATATTATTTCAAGTTATACTTATTTAAGACATTTTTCTTGTTCTTAAACCAAACATGGTGGGCACCCCAGCACTCTAGCTGAACCAGGAAGATTTCAAGTTCAAGGCCAGCCAGTGCTGTAAAGTGAGTTCCAAGCTAGGCTGGACTGCATAGGTAGACTCCTGTCTCAGAAAAGAAGGGTATTTATAACTTATATATTTTGCCCTTAGCATTGGTTTTACTATATCCCACGAATTTTGATGATATTTTCAAGTCATTCTCTAGTACATATACTTATCTTGTGATTTCTTCTGAGTCATTGAGGTTTTTGATTTTGTTTTGTTGCTTACTAGATAGCCCAAGTTAGCCTCAAACTAGTATTTCTTTCTTCCTTTTTTTTTTTTTTTTTTGTTGATCATGGGCCTTGAACTCTAGGCCTGGGTGCTGTTCTTGAGCTCCTCAGTTCAAGGCTAGCCCTCTACCACTTGAGCCACAGTGCCACTCCTGGTTTTTGCGTGGTTAATTGGAGATAAGAGCCTCACAGGGACTTTCCTGCCCCGGCTGGCTTTGAACCTTGATCCTCAGATCTCAGACTCCTGAGTAACTAGCATTACTGGTGTGAGCCCCCAGCACCTGGCGGCTCAAATTAGCATTTCTTGCAGGACAAGTCTAGTGATTAATAAAATATTATTAGCTTTTATATCGCTTAAAACAGCTGAAACATCTTAATTTTTTCTGAATCTTGTTGTTGTTTTTTTTTTTTTTTTTTTTTTTTTTTTGGTTTTTGGGTTTTTTTTGGTGACAATCCTGGGAACTGAACTCAGGGCCTGAGTGAGCATTGTCCCTGAGCTTCTTTTGCTCAGCTAGACTAGTGCTCTACTACTTGAGCCACAGCTCTACTTGCAGATTTTTTTGTCGGTTGTGGGGCCTGAACTCTAGGCCTGGGTGCCATCGCTCAGGTCTACCACTTGAGCCACAGGGCCACTTCTGGCTTTTTCTGCTTATGTGGTGCTGAGGAATCGAACCCAGGACCTTATGCATGCAAGGCAAGCACTCTACCACAGAGCTACCTTCCCAGCCCCTTTCAGCTTTTTTTGTGTGTGATTGATTGGAGATGAGTCTCACAGACTTTTGTGCCCTGGCTGACTTCAAACCATGCTCCTCACATCTTGGCCTCCTGAGTAGCTAGGATTACAGTCAGGCATAAACCACCTGTGCCCAGCTTTTCCCAGATTTTTGAAAGCCAGTGTTGCCACAGATTCTTCATTAATAATACTATTCTTTTAAACTTTGAAAATATTGGCTCCTGGCCTCCAAAGTTTCTGGTGAAAAAATCTGCCAAAACTATTAGTAAAGAGTTTCTTGGGAGTAGAGCTATGGCTCAAGTGGTAGAGGGCTAGCCTTGAGGAAAAATAGCTTGGGGACAGCGCCTAGGTCTTGAGTTCAAGTCCCAGGACTGGCATTAAGAAAAACACAAATGTTTTAAAAAACCAGGTGCTGGTGACTCATGTTTGTAATCATAGGTATTCAGGAGGCTGAGATCTGAGGATGGCAGTTCGAAGCCTGTCCAGACAGGAAAAGTCCAGGAGACTCATCGCTAATAATCTACCCAGAAAAAGCTAAAAGTGGTACAGTGGCTCAAGTGGCAGAGTGCTAGTTTTGAGAAAAAGAATCTCGAGACAGTTCCCAGCCCCTGAGTTCAAGCCCCAGGCCCAGTACAAACACACAAAAAAAGTTTCTTCCAAGTTTCTATTTAAAGTTTAATGGTAATGTGTCTCCAGGTAGCTATTTTTTGAGTTAATCTTACTTGAAATTTTTTTGTTTTTGTCAGTTGTGGGGCCTGAACGCTGGGCCTGGGCTCTGTCCTTCAGCTCTTCAGCTCAAGGCTAGTGCCTACCACTTGAGCCACACACCACTTCCAGCTTTTTCTGTGTATGTGGTGCTGAGAAATCAAACCCAGGGCCTCATGTGTGCAAGGCAAGCACTCTACCACTGTGCCACCTTCCCAGCCCCTACTTGAAATTTTTTTACCTTTAGTGTTTATATTCCTGTCTTTAATCAAATTTAGAAAAATTTCAGCTTGTTTCTTTCTATTATTATCTCTATTTCTCTTTCAACATTCATGGTACTTTTATTTTTTTCTTTTGTATATGCAATTGCTTTTGACTATCTTAGCTTGTAATGTTGCCTTTTAAGAGGGAGAAAAAGAAAAAGGAGGAGGTAGAATGGTAACTGCTACTCTGCTAAAAGTTAAAATTTACCAAATGAATCTCTGTTTACCCTGTGAACCTTCCCCTGGAAGTTAGAAGCTTCAGGAGACTACTGAATTCCAAAATATTTACACAGAATTTGCCAGTGCAATTATTGTCTAGGTAAGGAAGTAGATTTCTGGTGCTTCATATCAAACTATTTCCCTAGAATGTGGGAATTATAGTACTTTTTTTTTTTTTTTTTTGGTCAGTCGTGATGCCTGAACTCTGGGTCTGGGTGCTGTCCCTCAGCTCTTCACCTCAAGGCTAGCGTTCTACCACTTGAACCACAGCACCACTTCTGGCTTTTTCTGCTTATGTGGTACTGAGGAATCGAACCCATGGCCTCATGCATGCAAGGCAAGCACTCTTACCACTGAGCTACCTTCTTAGCCCCGAATTATAGCACTTTTAATGTGTAGATATTCAGGAAATCCCGTTTCCTTTTTGGTTCTTACATATTAAACAACTTAAGCCAGGCATTGCGGCTCCACTACTCAGGAGGTTGCGTGGAAGAATAACTTCAGCCCAGGAGTTCAGAACTTACCTGGGCAAAGAACAGACCCTGTCTCAAAAAAAAAAAAAAGGGCCAGGCCCTGGTGGCTCACGCCTGTAATCCTAGCTACTCAGGAGGCTGAGATCTGAGGATCGCGGTTCAAAGCCAGCCCGGGCAGGAGAGACCGTGAGACTCCTATCTCCAATAAACCACCAGAAAACCGGAAGTGGCGCTGTAGCTCAAGTGGTAGAGCGCTCACTTTGAGCTGAAGAGCTGAGGGACAGCGCCCAGGCCCAGAGTTCAAGCCCCACGACCGACCAAAAAAAAAAGGAAAAAGAAGAGAAATGTATCAGCCTAGGAGCAGAGAAAATGTGGTATATATATAATTGTTGGCTAAAAGTAGATTATGTTAAGTGAAATAAGGCAAGATTCAGAAAGATAAATGTCACATATTTTCTCTCATACAAGCTAGACTTCATTTTTTTGTGTGTGTGCTGGTCCTGAAACTTGAACACAGGGCCTGGGTCTTGGACATGAATTTTTGTGCTTAAGGTTAGTGCTCTACCTTTGAACCACAGCTCCATTTCTGTGTTTTGGTAGTCAGTTAGAGATAAGAGTCTCATGGGCTTTCCTGCCCAGATTGGCTTGGAACTGCCATCCTCAGATCTCAGCCTTCTGAATAGCTATGATTATAGGCATGAGCCACTGGCTCCCAGCTTAGACTTCATATTTTATATACACAAACACATACATAAAATGAGTGTAAGTATAAATGAATGTAAGTGTTTGGAGGGACTAAGCAGGGAAAGAAAATGTGGATGAGTAATATTGAAGTACATTGTATCTGTGTATGAATATAACAATGAAACCCACTAAAAACTAAAATTGGAGGGGAGAGCAGTAAAAGAATAGAAGTTAATCAAGTCATAGTACAATATACACATATATAAAATACCACAGAGAAATACCTTTGCCCAATTAATATACACTAATTTAAATAAATGGTAACTTAAAGAAATTTATTAAGTGTCAGCTTTGCTTTTCAGGTGCGGTGTCTAAAAGACTATGGAGAATTCGAAGTGGATGATGGTACTTCAGTCCTATTGAAAAAAAATAGCCAGGTATTTCTTTTTTTGGGGGGGGGTCTGGTCGTGGGGCCTGAACTCTGGGCCTGAGCTCTGTCCCTCAGCTCTTCAGCTCAAGGCTAGCGCTCTACCACTTGAGCCACAGCCCCACTTCCGGCTTTTCTTTTCTGCTTATGTGGTGCTGAGGAATCGAACCCAGGGCCTCATGCATGCAAGGCAAGCCCTCTACCACTGAGCCACCTTCCCAGCCCCAGCCAGGTATTTCTTATCATCAGATACGTTAAATTTATGAAAAACATTGAATGTAGGAATGTTGGGATCAGTAGCAAACTAAGTACCATCTTGTGATGTATATCTTAGGCATTATATTTAGTATAAGAAGCTCTTTTCTGTCCTTTTCTGTTCTTTTTCTAAATATGAATACTTGAAACATGATTGACATAGTACAAAGTGGTTAATTAAGTAGGACATTGCTTGTATTAAACGTTTCCAAGGAAATTTTTTTTAATCCAGTAAAGTAGTAGAGCATTATTTCTCTATTAAAGTGATGAGTTTGGCTCCTGTTTTTGAATTATAATTTATTTTTTAAAAAGTTCCTAAGCCGGGCGCCGGTGGCTCACACAAAGAGGCTCAGGAACAGCCCCCCAGGTCCTGAGTTCAAACCCCAGGACTGGCCAAAAAAAAAAAATTCCTAAGCAATCATTTTTTAAATTATTTTTTAAATATATTTTTATTGTGAAAATACTGTACAGAGGGGTTATAATTACATGGGTAAGATAATGAGCACATCATTTTTATTTTTATCTTATACTTCATTTAAAAAATTTTTTTCTTTTTTTTTTTGGTCTGGTTGTGGGGCCTGAACTCTGGGCCTGGGTGCTGTCCCTCAGCTCTTCAGCTCAAGGCTAGCACTCTACCACTTGAGCCACAGCGCCACTTCTGGCTTTTTTCTTTTTTTTTTCTTTTTTTTTTTTTGCTTATGTGGTGCTGAGGAATCGAACCCAGGGCCTCGAGCATGCAAGGCAAGCGCTCTACCACTGAGCCACCTTCCCAGCCCCTCATTTAAAATTTTCTAAGCATCTGCAAGTTACCAGTCACTCACATCTATAATCTTAGCTACTCAGGAGGCTGGAAGATTATAGTTCAAAGCTAGCCCAAGCAGAAGTCCAAGAGACTCCACTTAAGCAACAGAAAACAGCTCTGCTATAATCCAACCTTCCCAGGAAGCTGAAATCTTGAGAATTGAGGCTTGGAACCAGACCAAACAAAAATATCCAAGACTTTTAGTGCCAGTTAACCTGCAAAAAGACAGAAGCTGAGGCATGGCACAAGTGGTAGAGCATTATCCATGAGCAAAACAGCCAAGCCAGAGCATAAGGCCTTGAGTCCAAGCCACAGTACTGACCAAAGAAAAGGACTGTTGGTCTGGCTTAAGTGGTAGCACACCAGGAGAACAAGCATGAGTTATAATTCTGGTACCAAGAGAAAAAGAATTTCTGTATATCTAAGACATAAAACAATTTAATAGAGAAAGATGGAAATTTTAAAGTTACCACTTGATCTTTGTGAATCACATTAGCTACATTTACTTTTATCCTATACCATATACTGAAATTACATTACAGGAGAAACAAAATACATTAAAACCATTCTTTCTTTGCCTGTCATTTTGGTTCTGAGGCAACAGTTTGTAAGCCCATATAACCTCTTAGATGTAGGGCACTATGAATCAAAAACAGACCATCAATTAATGATGTCATATGTGTGTGTATTAGATATATATATATATATATATATATATATCAATATCATTTATACATGGCAAAAGCACAGCCCATAAGAGCCCTAGAAAGCAGGCTATATGGAAACATTATTTCATCACAAATACTATTCTATGGTTTATTTTCCTGACACTTTATGGCTAATGTGACCACTATCAACTTTTGAAAGCTAGGGCTGGTTTCAAGCCACAATCCTCATATCTGAATCTCCTGAATTGCTTGGATTAAAGATGTGAGCCACCAGTGCCTGGCTTCTCATCTACCTTCTCATGAAACAGTTGTACAAAAAGCTTTCAATTCCGTAAGTCAGGTTATGAGTACAATGTACCTTGATCAGTGTCATCCTTTCCCCATTGCTTTCCGCTATTTTCTTCCTTTCATCCCTACCATCAAGTTACATAGTTGCGGGCTGGGAAGGTGGCTCAGTGGTAGAGTGCTTGCCTTGCATGCATGAGGCCCTGGGTTCAATTCTTCAGTACCACATACGGAGAAAAAGCTGGAAGGGGCACTGTGGCTCAAATGGTAGGGTGCTAGCCTTGAGCTGAAGAGCTGAAGGACAGCACCCAGGCCCAGAGTTCAGACCCCAGGACCGACCAAAAAAAAAAAAAGTTAGGTAGTTCCATTTTTACATAATGTACATTGAATATAATGACTGCATTTGCTTACCCTCCATTCATGAGCTTTCTCCTTTGTGCCCCCAATCATGTCTCTGCTTTCGGGTATTCAATTTGTTAAACAGTTCATAATTTGTTCAGAGGAGTTATAACATCCTTCAGTCAGTTTGACTAATTACAATTTTAAAAAATATCTCAATCATTTCTCTTACTCCCTGCACTCTCCCCCTTTGTCCTCAGCACTTTTTGCCTCGGTGGAAATGTGAACAGTTGATCAGACAAGGAGTTCTGGAGCATGTCCTGTCTTGACTGTGTCCAGGCTGAACATACATGAGGAACTTCCAGGCCTTGTCTAGATATGAAGCTGAACTCAACTCACAGAAATGTCTATGCTTCAACCGTCTACCTCCCTCTACCTCTTCTTTGGATATTAAATTTAGATATATTCTTTAAGATGACCAAGCTCAGTGAAAGAGTGCTTTCAGCATTCACTAATCCCTGAGTTCTACTGCCTGCAAGTAATAACAAACAAAAGCCAGAAATGCTTGGCAAGGAGTATAATTTGCTAACTCTGAAAGACTTGTATTTTTCTGTATGGCACACCGTTCTGCCTGTTTTCTCTAGTAAGCAATATCTATAATCATAACATTGTCCCAGTCAGGGCAGTGACCTTTCTGGTTTTTTGTTGTTGTTGTTGGTCGTGGGGCCTGGGCGCTGTCCCTCAGCTCTTCAGCTCAAGGCTAGTACTCTACCACTTGAGCCACAGCATCATTTCCCACTTCTGGCTTTTTCTATTTATGTGTGATGAGGAATTGAACCCAGAGCCTCATGCATGTGAGGCAAGCACTCTACCACTGAGCCACCTTCCTAGTCCCAAGGCAGTGACCTTTTATAAATAGAAATAAACATGCTTAAGCTTGAATCTCTTTTAAATAATGGGAATCACCTGTATAAGCAGAAATCAGATCCTTATATCTTGCTTGTTTTCTGGTGGTATTCACTCCTCTTCAGGAGGCTGAGTTTCTGAAATGTATGTTTCCAGGGAAAAGATGATTGTCTATAACTATTTCTATATGTATTGCATGTAATTGCATACCAGTTTATCATTTGCTATTGGGCAAGGATGAAAGAAAGACAGTAGATTTTGTCTGCAGCAGTGGGAGTTGGTCTGGCTCGTAGACCTGTTGGGTGGTCATTAGTCTCATCCTTTGCCGGAATAAATTGAGACTGAAGAAGGAACTTTGCGCAGTTTTCCTGCAGGTTTGCATCTCTGTACATATGTCACTTTTAATTTTGATAATAAGTTATTTCCCTGTTATCCTTATATATCTAATTAAATGTTTATAGATTAATCTTGTGAAAGATTTTATTTCAATGATTTTTCCCGTTTTCTGTTTTCTAATTCATCAACCATTTTTTTATAGTCCCAGTTACAGCTGCTCACTGTTACTGTTGTAGCACAAAAACAAATATAGATAAATGAATGCAGTGGTTCTAATCAGACTAGTTGTAAAACAATGCTATAGAGGGATGTGTTGGCTCAAGCTGCAGTATATTGTTGCCAGCCCCTATTATAACCTTGATTTCTTCTGCAGTTGTCATTACTTCTTTATCCTTTTATACTTACTATAATCAATCAATCAATATAACTTCTCTCTCTCCATTCCTCACTTGAGTCATGACCTTAGCTCATTACTGTGTATTTCATTTGCTCTTTTTCTAATTGTTAAAGGTAGAGGCTGATCCTAGCTACTCAGATGGCATAGATCTGGCAGGCTGAGATCTGAAGCCAGCCCAAGCAAAAAAGTCTGTAAAGCTCCCTTCTCCCATTAACAGCAGAATGCCAGGCTGAAGTCACAGCGTAAGTGTTAGACTTCCAACCAAGAGCAGAAAATCTGAGTGAACATCAGTCTGAGTTAAAACTCTGGTGTTGACACGCACATGCACAAACACACAAAATAGTAATAATAGTAAGTATTAAGTATTAGTGATAGCAGAGGCTGTGAACATGGATTTGAGATCTTTATTTCTAATATAAAATATTTGGTGGTAAGTAATGCTTTGTTGACTCTCCCAAATTTTAGTATATTATTTCATTTCCATTTAGCTTGAACTGTTTTCTAATTTTTCCATTGTTACAGTTTAGGTCTGGAATGTCCCCAAAACCCAGATGTGAAAGCCTCAGTCAACTCAGCTAGGCAATACTGGTGAAGGCACTTTTAAGAGGCTGGGCCTCGTGAAAATTAGGACATTTTGGAAGTGTCCTTGGAGTAGACCTAGTTCCCTATTCGTTGCTTCCCCTCCTCCCTCTCAGAGTTTTCCTGATTGGTTCATTTACTTGTCTAGAGTAACTATAAGCTTTAGAACTGTCTTGTCCAATTCTGGTATGTGGGATTGTTTGGCATAGTGAACACATTTGTATTTTTCTTAACATTACATTTACCAATGTTCTTAAAGTAACTAAGCTTTATGTTAAATCTTTTTTTTTTGGGTCCGGTCATGGGGCCTGAACTCTGGGCCTGGGCACTGTCCCTCAGCTCTTCAGCTCAAGGCTAGCACTCTACCACTTGAGCCACAGCGCCACTTCCGGCTTTTTTCTTATGTGGTGCTGAGGAATCGAACCCAGGGCCTCGAGCATGCAAGGCAAGTGCTCTACCACCGAGCCACCTTCCCAGCCCCTATGTTAAATCTTTTTCAGAACTGATGCTTCTGTCTATTCCAGTCTTTTGGGTTTCTCTAAAGTGCTGTCAAGTTTTTCTCCTACAAGCAAGCATAGTAAATGACTTAACAGATGGGAGTAGGTATACCAGGCTTGGGATAGTGGCTGTCCCCGGGAAAAGAAGATCAAGGATTACTGAGTAGTTCTTTATCTCTGTACAAGCCTGTAGCAGAATCTCATTTTAAATAGATCTAGTTGGTGAACATACCTCTTTTATTAATTTCTATATTTTGAAATACAGAATTTTTAAAACCTATAAAACTTAGAAGTCAGTTTTAATAGAAAAGAATTTATTGCAAATACAGTGGCTCTCATGTTGCAGTAGTACATTCTGATAAACCAAATGGCTATCAATAAAGTATATTTTAGACATAAAACTATACCTTATAGTACATTTGTACATTAACTAAATGTACATATATGCATTTCCAGTGTGATGACATTTCAATGAGAAGATTGCATTCACAATAAACACCACCATCCCTGAGTCCATGACCTTGGTTAAGTTCCACCCAGAGATTCCCGTCCCCTTGCCCCCCATGGCAGTTGGTAGTTCCCACAAAGGGAAGTCTGTCTGGAATGTGTGTATAGAACCACCATTGAGAGTCTTAATGATGTAAGCCATGAAATGGTAAAATCATACAGAACCTGGATGCTACATTTTAATGTTTCCAGTCTAAAGTACCACACAAAATATTTAACCACTTGCTCTTAGTTGTTGTTTGTTGAGTCCCAGATTTTGTCTCACTAGTAGGTATCAAAATTGAAAATTTAAGCTGTGCATGGTGGTTCAAGCCTGTACTCCTAACCACTTTGAAGCTGAGATCTAGATGATAGTGATTTGATGCCAGCTCAGACAAAAAGAAGTTCCCAGGATTCTGTCTCAACCAAGGGCTAGGTGCAGTGGTGCACACCTGTTAACTCCAGTGACAAGAGAAAGCACAAGTAGGAGGATCCCAGATCAGGCTAGCTGGTGCACAAAGCAAATCTCTACCTCAAAAATAACTTGTGCACAAAGAGGCTGGGGATGTGGCAGGTAGAACACCAGCCTAGCAAGCATAAGGCCCTGAGTTTACTACTCAAAAAGGGAATTCAGGGAAATTATCTAGAACCACCATAAAAAGTTTATTGTACATAGCTACTTCCCTGGCCTCTGGCACATAGTTGTACATAGTCCTCATGGGTCTGAAGGTACATAGCTAATGAGCAGAAAGTTATGGCATCAGAATGGCTTAATTCTAAGATATTTTCCTTAGTGTGTACTCTAGGAAAACTAGCAGTCTATACAGAGAGGGATGCTGGTGCAATCTTACTAATGAGTTTGTTGAGAGCTCGAACTTTTTCTTCCAAGATGCGGCTCTTCCTCTCTGCACATAGTTGTTTCTCTTCTGTGACCTGAAGAGCTTTCATGAGATGAGAGTTTTCCACATACAGCTCCTTGAGCAACAAGTCAGATTTGCTGTTCTTTTCAAACTGGAAAGTAGAGAAAGCCCTAATTACTGTGAATCAGGTGCGGAAATGCTATGTGATTGGCCCACTCATCCCTCTCCATCTGCCCTAGCATGGTCTCCTGGTTCCTAAGGCTCTGACACAGACAGCAGTGTTTGTTCCCTGGTATGAGGGAGGAAATGAGAATCTGTGGAACTGTGTGGTAAGGAAAATATAAGAACATTATGAGAATGGTGGGGTTTTTTGCACAAAATGAAGACCAGGAGCCCCCTAGTACAATGTAAAACAAGTCTTGGGGGTCCCAAAAATGTTTGTTTCATCTCTACCCTGTTGCCATTGCCCAGAAAAGCCACGTAACATATAGTCACATGGAACAAAGAAAGAAAGGCTTATTGCCAGCAAAGGGACTGACGAGGCCAATTCTCATAGGGAGAAAAAGTGCTTGTCTTTGTCTAAGGTGACTACTCATAATCTAGAAGGGGTAGGAGGTAGGGACCTTGGTGCAGACATGTGGGCCAAGGACTGCATCACGGCAGGCTAGGATTTATGGTAGCTGCCCAAATAGTAGATAAGGGGTCTGTGGCTGGTCAAACTGAATGTCACTGTAAGGGGGTCCTGTTATTTTAAAAAAAAAAAATTATTGTAAAAATCCTGTATAGAGAGGTTACAATTACATGAGCAAGGTAATGAGTACATTTCCTATCAAGCATTGTTACTTCCTCCTTTGTTTTTCCCCTCCCCTCCCTTCCCTCCTACTTCCACAACTACACTCTCCCCTCCCCCTTCCTTCCCTACCCACCTAAATTGTAAAGTTTGTTTTTCAACATAGTGTCTTGTGCATCTCATTGTTACAATGGGTCAATCTGTATCCTTATTTAAACATTTTGTTTGTTCCCTTCCCCTCCCCAAGCTAGAGAAGTGTATATACAAGATGCAGAGCACCGGAATCAAATACAGTGAAAACTGGGGTTATACCATGGGGGAGGAACATAGAAAGAAAAAAAAAAATCATATGGTACCTTATAAATATGTTAGAAACAATAGCAAGAAAAAAAAAACTACTTGTGTCCCTATCTTGGGGTTATCTGGTCATATGTACATAGCTTTTGACCTTTTCTGCTTGTTCCAGACATACACTGGTTATTATAAATAAGGGAAACCATGGGACCTATGTTTCTTTGGGCCTGGCTCACTTCACTTAATATAATTTTTTCCAACTCTTTCCATTTCCTAACAAATGGGGCAATGTCATTCTTTCTGATGGAGGCATAGAATTCCATTGTGTATATATACCACATTTTCTTGATCCATTCATCTACTGAGGGGCATCTGGGTTGGTTCCATATCTTACCTATGGTAAATAAGGCTGCAATAAACATAGTTGTGCTGGTAGCTTTAGTATGCTCTTGTTGGTCCTGTTACTTTTTATGGTTATAACTGACTCAATGGAGTGTCATCTCAAGGTAAGGGAGAGGAGGCCGATTATTTACTGCCTGCACCAAATGGGCCTAGTGTTGGTCACTCACTCTGGGAATGGTGCCTACCAGGTCCTGGGAAGGAAAGGAACATGCTAAGCTATGAGAAAGGGGCCTATTAGACTAACAGCCATGGTGCCACATAGGACATGTGGAGGACTTCCAATGTCTTGGAGCCAAGTATGTGAGCTGTTCACCATTACCAGGTGGGTGTCAGCTCCATTTGGCAGCCCTTGCCATGACTTTGTTCAAGACCCCGTGGATCTGAGCAGTGAGCTTCATGAATTCATTCAGCTACAAAGAATTCACTCGTTCAGCAAGTGGTTATGAATACCCCTGTGTACCCACAACTCTGGCAAAATCCCTGCTCTTGTGCAGCACACATTCTAGCAGAAAGGGCAGAGGAAAAATAAACATACACCCAGCAGGTGATAGATAGATGACTGGTTTGGGAACAGAGGGGACCTGTAAGGACATTAGAATAGAGATATGAATAAGCCACAGAATGAGTCAAGGCTGAGTATGAACACAGTAGGAAGAAGGAAAAATGAGAAAAGGCACAGTGGCTGGCATATGCTTGGTGTGCAGTGCCTGGAGGGACATGGAAGGGGAGGCAGATGAAAAGTCAAACGTTCTACGGCAGGGAGGGGGCACAGGAAAAGCACAGAGTAGGAAAACTTTGGAGATCATTGTCTCAACTGTCTTTATTCAAGA